AACATAGAAAATATGCACTTATTAATGCTATCTTATGTTCTTGGTACGAAAGGGAATTTGATGCATAGTACGAATGGAAATACTAGAATACTGGTAGCCTAAAACGCTTTTTTAAACCTGACATATTTTAGCCTCCTCTTTTAAGTAGGTTCTGGTGTGTAGTGCCTGTAAATTGAACAATTTAATTTCATAGAATTCGGGGTGACCTAAATAAGAAAGTTATTAGCAAACACAATAAATCAATAATTCTGTTTTATTAAAGCTTTGTTGCTTTAATTTCTTATCCCTGGAAGGAGTTTAATGTAAAAAAATGTGATTTTACTAGTTTACACACAACATTATAAACTTTATGGTTTACCAAATTGCTTCTCATTTTTTGTATCCATTTATTGTATTGGGACCACTAATCTATTGTGCCCCCAAATGCCCTGGTACGGCCGAGAGTGGGGAGAGTCCGCTCTCCCTCTCGAAATGCTCTCACATGGCCATGCGTATATAGCCTCTGCCAGGGAATTCCTACTCACTGCCTTCTCGCACCACGGGTGTTGTTTACGAAAATGAGAGGACGAAAAGCGAATGTCTGGCGCTTTAACCGGACCCCAAACCAATGGTGCACATGGGCTCCAGTATCCTGAAGGAACAAATGGCGTATGAACCAATCGTTGGTCACCGGCTACCATGGGACTGCATCTCCTTACGATGCTCCACTGCCTTGTGGGTCAGACGTTCAGGTCGGAGGCTCGGGGTGTGGCCCCCTAAGAAAACCACCTGCTTCGGTTTGGGCACCCGGGCAGTATCACAGCCCTCACACAAATCAATTGAGATTTGTGTGGCGCATATGTATTTGGTGCCTCCCTGTACCTATACTTATGTGTTAAAATAAATAAATAAATAAATAATAAATATCCGGGGACTATTTATACACTTATTATGTATGTATATATATTCTTATTTTACAACTGTTAAGTACTTACATTATATATATATATATATATATATATATATATATATATATATATATATATTTCTTATAATATGAGCTTTCATTTGACCTACTGACTACAATTTTACGATTTATTATTCTTAAGTTATTCTCCATCTAATAGTTATAGTCTCTCACATTCACGGCCACTTTTGGCTTGATGTTGTACAGTTGTTATTTTCTATCAGTATAAGCTTGTGGAGATTGTTGAGTTTTCATTAAGACCATGAACCCATCATCTTTAGACTACTATTAAAAACCTGGACGCACTGAACGGCCGTTTCATCCTAGTATGGGACTCCTTAGCAGTGCGCACCCACTACTCCGCACGCACCATTCGAACCTAAGACCTCCGGTTTTGCGCTTAACCTCTGGCCACTACGCCGGCATCCAACGGTGTTAGTATCTAACCAACTAATCCACGATATTTTACGACCATCTTCCATTGTCTTCGGTGATGCAGCCTGTTTGTTTGCGTATCAACTACGCATGTCTGAATTATATTAATTATACAGTGTAGTCTTATATTGCATTCTGGGCTCAACGTGCAGGGCCAGGCTTGAAGGACCAATAGGGACTCAGAATTGACGCAATGCTGCTAGTGCTGATTGACGTGTCATTGGTTTAGCACAAGAACAAGGTCATATAAGTCGATATTCTGACTGGCGATTTTGTCACGTGATAAATAACAGGGCAAATTCATAACACTGGTTATTCACTTTTAACAAGATATTGTAGCGGAAATTGTAGAAAAAATATGCAGTCTTAACTGAGAAAATTTCGAGGTAATAAAAATAACACCTTTTAAATATCCCCTTTTGAAACATTTAGTTTTTAGCCATTGAGTTTACCATTTCGAGTACTACTCTATCTAATTCGATCTAGGGATTCAGACAGTAGTATCGCTAGCTCTCACGGTGAAAATGTTAGCATATAGTCTCAAGCACATCAGTTGGCCCTTAGTAACTGAGTTACAACAGACATCTATTCTTGTTCTTATTTTCATTACTATTGTTATTGTTGTTCTCTTTGTAACGCTTTATAGAAGTATCAAATAATTTGATGATTCCGAATTTCTTTTTTTAACGTAATTCCTTTTAGGCGTACAACTAACAGTATATATATATATATATATATATATATATATATATATATATATATATATATATATATATATATATATATATATTGAAAACTTACCCTTTCGCAATATCCTCTCCATGAAAGTTGTGATTAGCTGATATGTTGATTGCCTTATCGTATTTTGTTATTGGCTTACAGTTATAATATTTCAATTAATCTGAAATTTCGTTAGATAATTTTATTTTTATTTTATTCTTTTGTCTGTAAAATATATTCCAGTGATTCGTAAATTACACTAGTCTACATGTTTCATTGTCACAGACTCGTCTTTTACTTAACTCAGTGTTTTTATTTCTGTCATAATAAAGTGAAATGTCGAATGTTTGTTTAAATATTATTGTTTTTCTAATGACCCAAACTGACCATAATACATAATAGTTTAATTAAAAAAAGATAGTATATAATATTGAACTTGAATTTAAACATCAGCTGTGTACATCATAGAAACTTTATCATTTTGAACATTAATGAAATAAATTGAAAAAGTATGAAAAATCAAACATCTATATCTTAGTAAATAAATAATATATTTTTAACATCCCAATGAGTATGGGATATTACACATATATTATTTATTTATAACAATCTACCCAGTGCTCAATTTATTCGAAATTATCAAATCTACATCTTAGTGGTTTCACCCTGATTTAGGACTATTGAATAGTTTGCACCCATGACCACATACATTTAGTTGAACCCAGGATCTGAAGAGCTTGTGACAACCGTCATACCTGTAAACCATTTAGATCGTACTCCAACGGCCTATATTTAGATCTGGATGAATTCGTATCCAACGTCATTGATAAGTTACTATCCCCTAGTTTGGCCGATTCCATGTGCCACAGTCGATTAGTCGCAACGTAGAACCTGGTACGTATGTACATCGGTTCAAGTTACCATACCCCTTTATCGAAGATGTGAAATCGCCAGGTCAAACTCCGACATAGTAGAAGCAGTAACAGTATGAGTGGTAGTAGAAAAGATTAGGCATCGAATTTACACTTCCATAAAATATAAATTGATAAGATAAAAACACAAAAGAAGCTTCTGGAAAATCCAGAAGCTCAGAATTTAGGTGGATACAAAGGATGAATGCATCTTCATCATTCCAAACAATTTCGAGCCACATGATTCTTCACCATAGTTTGTTAATATATTGAAATAGTCTCTCAGTAGACAGTGTTCGACTTTCAACCAGTAAGTCGTAGGGTCAAACTCCTCTCCACATACTTCCGTTTGAGCAAATAAGTGCTATCATTAACCTTTACACTTGAAATGTTACTCAAAGCTTAGTTGATGAATTTTCATATGATAAACGACTTAATCTAAAGAGAACACCAATAGCTTTGAGGAAATCCACTTCGATACACCTCTATTAGATATCTGGCTACAGTTTAAACAAGTGTTTAACTACTACATAGTATTACTATAATATGAAATAATAATAGATTAGCAGCTTGTTCAAATTGATATGTCTTCATTAATGTATGTGTTCATTACATAGGTCAATATCTTTACTGTATAAATGTTTCAACCCTCTAGAACATATCCGGTACTCTGAAATGAATATAAAACTCTTTCGTACTGAATAAATAAAATCGGAAAATATTGCGAAAAATCCTTATTTTAAACTTAAAACGAATGTTCATTTTCCAGTTCCTTTTTTTCTGTAACCGGAAATCACTAATGATTAGAAGATTTAAATTTGATTACGTCAATAAGTGTATAATGAAAACTACTAAATCTTCATAGTTGTTTGTTTTTATCTTTGTCAACTTGGTTTAATATACCCATATCCTGACCACAATATTTCTGTTTATCCTGTTACAAATTTGTTGTTAGATAGTTGAAGGAAAACCCCAGAGAGCGTAAGCATAAGTTTTACGCTAGTTCAAATTTACTAGCAAGATATATTGATCTTCGTGAAATTTCCTACCCGTACCATAGTCATAAACGTCACCTCTAAGCTATTTGAGCTGTCGATAAACATTTTTAGGGTTGAGGTGTTTGTATTAATTGGTCGTCTAATGAATGAGAACTCTCACTGCCTTCAACCACAACGATATTAAATGAAGCCATTATGATATGAAGTCACTAAGCGAAGTGGGCATATATCAAGTTGCTCGATACTATTCGATTTGAATTAAGGACCAGATAATGCAACATTTGTTATTACTTAGCGATCAGATATTGTATAGAGTCACAAGCTTCGATGTTTTTTGCACTGCACATATAACATTGTTTAAATGTTTATTTTTATTCATTTTAACACATAGATATTGGTACAAGGAGGCACCAAATACATATGCGCCATACGAAACGCAATTGATTTGTGTAAGGGCTGTGATATTGCCCGGGTGCCCAAACCGAAGCAGGTGGTTTTCTTAGGGGGCCACACCCCGAGCCTCCGACCTGAACGTCTGACCCACAAGGCAGTGGAGCATCGTAAGGAGATGCAGTCCCATGGTAGCCGGTGACCAACGATTGGTTCATACGCCATTTGTTCCTTCAGGATACTGGAGCCCATGTGCACCATTGGTTTGGGATCTGGTTAAAGCGCCGGACATTCGCTTTTCGTCCTCTCATTTTCGTAAACAACACCTGTGGTGCGAGAAGGCAGTGAGTAGGACTTCCCTGACAGAGGTTATATACGCATGGCCATGTGAGAGCATTTCGAGAGGGAGAGCGGACTCTCCCCACTCTCAGCCGTACCATATTAATAACTAAAGAATTTTAATAACGATAATATATATGCTAATTTTTTATTAGGACAAGAATTCATTTTCTTATGATGATTTAATATTCTATAATTCAATTATTTCTTTTGTCTACTTTACCTCTTATAGTTTTTATTTCCTTTGCTTTCTTTTAAAAGGTATTTAATCGAACACAGGATTTTGAACGAGAACGTCTTAGTTTTTTTAAAGATATATTTAACAGTCTACATGATGCTCTTAATGTTTGTGCGAAAGTTGAGTAGGTTTTCCCAGTGTATATAATGATAAATTTATTAATAGTAAAATTTTAATGTTTAAAATCCATTCATTTATGTTATATCAGGGTTCGATAGATAATGACAGCGAGATAAATTGTTTCATGTTCATGAGATAATTGGTTAATATTCAATAGTTATATGATTGACTGGACGTCTGATTAGTGGTAGTACCTATCATACTTCGCCCTTGGTTTGGTTTATCATGAATTTACGATTTGGTATTTTTGATATTTACCTTACATTACAATTCATTTATCAAGGTAAGGTTTATTTTATCAGGTTTGAGGGTACGTAGAAAGCTCGGAATACTAAATAACCACATAAACCAGAGTAGATGAAATTGGGTTAACACCTATGACTTGTTAATTGGAAACCCAGTGTTTTTAACTACTAAAAGAACCCACTACAATGTACTTCGGTTTGGGTTTCCGTATACTTGCCTACTTTGGCCTATCACCGCTCTTCGGGCATAGGTCACTGACCTGGGATCTCCAACCAGCCCTGTACTGGGTTCTTCATTCCAGTTGTTGCCAAGTGTCATTCATCGTCTTAATGTCTGTGTCCAAGTCCCTGCTCCGTGTGGTTTTTGGTCTGCCTCTTTTCCTTTTGCCTTGAGGATTCCATGTTATGGCTTGCCTTGTGATTCGATTTGGTGGTTTCCGTAAAGTATATCCTATTCACCTCGAGCGTCTTTCCTAATTGCCTCCTCATTTGGTAACTGATCTTTTCTCTGTCAGAATAGGTTATTGCTGATGGTCTTTGGCCAGTCGATCTTCAGTATTTTGGGTAGACTACTGTTTGTATATACCTATAATTTTTCAGTGGTGGTGGCATTAGTTTCCTAAGTTTCAGCACGGAACAGTAGGTCTGCTTGAACGTTGAATGTTGACAATCCTAACTTCTGTCGTAGATTACAATTCTTTTGAGTTTCAGATATTCTTCAGGTGTAGGAATGTTGTTCTTGCTTTGACATCTTGTGCCTTCATATTTATATCAGATTCTCTTTGTTTATCAGTGATGCTGCCCAAGTACGTAAAGGTTTCCAGAGCTTCGCCAAATGTAGTTTGGTTGGTGCCCAATATGTTATACTCCAGGATTTCACTTTTCCTTTGCGAATGTTGACGTCGATTTCTGCGGGAGCCGCTGCTATATTGACTTTTCATCTGCATTTATTTTGTATGTATAGAGGGGCTAAGTCTCAAAATCATCCAGCGTGTCCACTGTATTCCGTGCTCTTCCTGGAGGTTTTCATAATCCAATCAACAACTTAAAGAAAGAGAAAAGGAGATAGTAGGTAGCCTTGTCTGACGCTGTTCCTTAGTCGAAATGCATCTGTTAGCGCTCCCTTTCATGCTAGACTTTACGATTCAGTCTCATGTAGGGCTTCTGTTTAATGGTAACGATCTCTTTAGGCACTCCAAAGTGTGTCTAAGAAGATTCCGTAAGGTTTTCCCATCCACTCTGTCAAATTCTTTCCTCTAGCCAAGGAATTCGCTGTATGTTGATGCATTGTCGCGATTTAGTCTGTACATTATCGATTCTTAAAAAATTTGATTATTTATCTTGAAGTTGGGTATCAACAGTGCTGTTTAAACTATCCCTAGCATTCAGAATGATGTGGTTACTTTTTAGTTGTGCACTTACTCATATCTTCTGTATCTAATGAGGTATCTTTATTTCCAGTCTGTTGGTGTTTGTTCTTCCTATCAGATCTTTCTGAACAGAATATGGAATATCACTAATTTTACATCTGTATTTGACTTCAGTGCTTTGGCTGGTATGCTATCCGGTCCTGCTGCTCCGACACACTTAAAACACACGATAACCTGGGTGATTTCTCCTGTTGTTGGTGGGCTATCATCTATTGGAAAGTTTGTGTTCATTGCTTCGATGTCCGGTGTGTTCAGTTGGGCTGGTCTATTGAAAAGCTCACTGAAGTGCTTTAGTCACCTCTTCCGCGCCTCTTGAACCTCAGCAATTGGTTTTCTTTCTTATTGACTGGTTTCCCTGGCCTAATTGATTCACCTATCAAACTTCTTTGTATCATATGATTCTTCCATATTTCTTTCTTCTGTAGCTTGTTCTAGTAGTTTCCAGTCTTTCTACATATTTCTGCTTATCATCTCTGATGCTCCCTTTTCTCTCATATGTTTGTTTTTGTGTATTCAGAATGTGCCCTAGGTTTTTCCGCATTTCTCGGCTTCTGTTGACTGTTGTTTTCTTGTTTTCCCATTCTTGAATCTTGCCTAAACTGTTTTCAGGGATTAACTGGTTGTTTTGCTGCTTCTTGCGATCCAGCACCTCTTGGGACGTCGAAATCATTGATTCTTCAGTCCGTTTTTTTATTAATGCGGTTGCGGTCGATATGGTTTTCTGTAGTGCGATTTAATGAAACTCATGTAGTTGTGCGTGTGCCTTTGTTGGAGAAAAAGGGTACTACCTGTAGCCACTTTTTTCAAAGCACATAAACCTACTTGTTTTTTCGCCATTCTCATTCCTTTTTCTCAGTCGGTATCTCACTACAATACGTTTATGACCGTCGTTGTTCGTCTCGAGTTTTGAGTTCAGGTTCCCCATAAAAATAATCTGGTATTTTCCTGAACATTAATCTACGATGGACTCCAGCTTCTCATAAAGTTGATCTTTATCGTCTTCCCTCTTATGACTGTTAGATGCGTAGAATTAGATGACATTCATTGTAATCCTTTTCTTGTTTGTTATGAAGGATGTTTTTTTCCTGAATCCACTGGTTTCCTATTCTCCAAGTGCTTTTGGTACCTTTTTGAACGGGATCGGCAAAACGTCTGCTTTGGTGGATTGCATCCTCGATGACCAGAACACAACTCTATTGAAGTCATTCTTCTTTTTCAGACTGTGTCCAATGAATTTCACTTATTCCAAGCAGAGCGAAAGTATATCTTCTCAATTGTTTGGCTATTCGAATGACCCTCTCAGTTTCCTGCATTGTCCGAACATCCTGTGTACCTATATTAATTGTTGCTGTGCTAGTTATAAGGAACATCGACCTCGTAGCTTCCGAAGAATCTCGGCTCTCTGGTTTAGCTATCATAACTCTTCTATATGAAGACTTTAAATACCTGGGCAGAGTTTACACAATGTTTATAATTTTTTCTGGTTAGCTTTTTTTATCAAGGTTCTCTTACGAGGTGAAGTTATTAATCTTTCGCCTGAGCCTCCTTCACGCGGGCTTAGGACTTTAAGAAAACCTAGGGGGCTCCAGGTGGGGTTGGTATTCTGTGTGGTTCTTACATAAGCAGTTTTTTCGAAGTCGAATGATTGGCAGATGAATTACAACGGAATTATTATATAATTTTGTTTGCCTATCTTCGTGACAGCTTTGTAATTCCTTCCTACCACTTTTTTTCCTGCACAGAGTAGCGTTTTCACTAGTTTTTAAAAGGGCGATTTACATGCATTCTTTACTCGTTGTTTAAGTTTCTCTCAACGAAGTTTATTTAAATGTTTTGCGATCTTTCCTTCTCACTTAGAGTTGTCTCGTTTTGAATTCTAACCTTTTCCTTCAGGACAAAAATTGTGTGTGCTTACACTATCTATTTATAGAGGATGCGTTGTGAATTTTCCATTATTTCAAATTGAATTGACTTCAAACAGTAGAATATTTAGAAAATAGTTTCATGCACGTTTCAATAATTGGCACGAATATTCTGTATGCGTGAAGTTTTTGAAGTAGTTAGGTGTATAGTTACTTACTATTCAACCGTAACTAAGTGCACATATAAAGTTTCACATGAATAATATCATTATTTTTAATACAGTGGAATTTGCATGTAGGCTAAGTCATGACAGTCACTTTAAGCAACATATAAAACTTGTTAGAGAAATTATATGGAACAATAATAATAATAAAAAATAAAAAAAATAATAATAATAATAAAAACAATATATTCTAATAATAATTACAGAATGCATCAATTTTTACAAGCTTAATCAGGTTCGTACAAAATTGGTGAAAAATTTGAAAAGATGTGCTTCTTAAATTATTATAATCAAACGTTTGTCATAAAGATACTTCAAAGTTTAGTAAGTACATAGAAAGGCTTTACATTTCATAATAATAGTAATATAACCGACTACAGTCGGTGATGCGCAAACATGATAGCAATTTAATCTGCCTATCGTAAGCTGGAATCAGAATAACTATTGGAGTTTGATCTAGAAGTTGTTTAAAGCATGGATTGAAAATCGAAATTTTTGATTTTGTTAATTATTTGTTCACTTCTTCCCATATCAAAAATATCACGAAATCATTCTGGCTCTCCCTTTCTAGGAAAACTATGTAAGATTGTACTAAGGGTCATTTTATATTATTCTCACTACAGTAAATCTCATAATAAAATGACAAACACTAATTCTTTTGACATAGTAATGAATGTATAAGTGTTTAAACGAAACCCGTTATGTATAAATGTATAGGTGTCCTTATGATTTCTATCATTTTTAGTCTTGTATATTTCACTTAACTTCGTTTTCTTATGTTCCATACCAAATATATTGTAACAGGATGATCTTTTTTTTCTTGTTGAAAATATTTATAGTTACGATTCTATCTACAGTGAGTTAGCAGAAAGTATCTCACAATGTGATGTTGAAGCAGACTTAAATTTGTGGTCCTCAAATCACGGAGTTGATATGCCTTTTGTTTCCCCACAATTTGAAGTAAGAACTATTCAAAATGGAATCTTACTTTTTAGATTTATGTGGATTTGTTCTTAATGCATTCTTTGTTGATTGTTTAATTAATTTAATGTGATTAAAGGTACCTTTTTTGACGAGATCTTTATGATGAAACATTTGCCTTATATATTCACTACACTGGCGTTTGTAAATTGATAACATTTTATTATTTCGACTGGATATCAATTGATACAGACTTGTGTTCTAAACTTAATCCGGCTATCTTTATGTACGAATCTATAGCTTTCAGGCTTTATTTTATTTACAGTTCGTTGTCGAAAAATGTCAGAAAATGTGATATACTGTTTAGTGTTCCTCGCTATTTTGTCATGTGAAGCATAACTTAATTGACTGAACCTCAGCATAGGACACTGAATTATTGGTATGAATAACTTAAGAGTTTTACTAGCCTATTCCCGTAATAAGTGTAAGTCAAAGTGTGTTACAAAAACTTTTCTGTCGACAGTTTAGTAACTAAACTTCATTAATAAATGAACTGTAGTGAACAAAAACTCAGGTGGGGAAAACCAAATTACACAATGGCTTAGAAAAATATGAAAATCACACATTAAGTATATCATTTACACATCCTTTACATACTCCATTATCACTTTAATTCGGTTGTTACTTTGACTCCTCTCCAATTTCCTTCCTGTTCTCTTTGTTTTAATCTTCTGTTACCAAATAAGTGTTTCAAAGATTGGTAACAGTCAGTCATAATCACCGTTAGGATCTGGCACGAGTACGCTTTGATCCAAATTGCCACATCATACTAGTAAATGGAGGCGATACAGAGGATTGTTTTATCATTCTTGTCTCCATGATTATTTTTCAATAGATTTCTCTTTTCCCCCGAATGCCCTGGTATGGCCGAGAGCGGGGTGGGCTCACCCTCCCTCTCGAAATACTCTCACACGGCCACGCGTATATAACCTCTGTCAGGGAAGTCCTACTCACTGCCTTCTCGCACCACGGGTGTTGTTTACGAAAATGAGAGGACGAAAAGCGAATGTCCGGCGCTTTAACCAGATCCCAAACCAATGGTGCACATGGGCTCTAGTATCCTGAGGGAACAAATGGCGTATGAACCAATCGTTGGTCACCGGCTACCATGGGACTGCATCTCCTTACGATGCTCCACTGCCTTGTGGGTCAGACGTTCAGGTCGGAGGCTCGGGGTGTGGCCCCCTAAGAAAACCACCTGCTTCGGTCTGGGCACTCGGGCAGTAACACAACCCACACACAATTAAAATGAAAATTATGATATTTACTGAAAATTCTATTCTCGCTTCGATTTACAGTCAAACAACTCACATTATTATTATTATTTACTGCGTCATTTATTCACCCTCTTCTATTCCCACTCTGTGTATACTTATTTTTCGACTTATACAGCAGCTCGCCTATGGTGGGAATTCGGCTCCATCTAAACTCTCTCGAGTCACTGCCTGGTTGAAAATTGTGTTATCACCGAATACAAGTACTGAAGCAGTTTTTCTGAAACCACGTGCACCATTCAAACTGGCTTCCTTTAACGTTCGCACACTTATGCAGGTCGGACAACAGATAGGGCTGGCTATGTCTTTGGAAAGTCTTAAAATTGACGTTTGTTGTCTATCTGAGACCCGTATTCAAGACTCTGGTGAAGTACTATTAGTTTGCTCTCCATCTGTTACTTTAAAAAGCTTGTTTTATTTGCGTTTATCCAGGGACACTGTGGCATCTTCGTGTGGTCTTGCTGGCGTTGGTGTCGCACTAAGCGCTAGAGCTGACGCAGCACTAATCGACTGGATCCCCATTAACAGTCGGTTATGTGCTGTTAGAGTAGAAAGCTCCATCAAAGTGAGAAGAAGTCGGCATGAAAAACGATGTCTTTTCGTCATCTCCGCCTATGCCCCGACAGATTGCAGCACGGAATCAATCAAGGACGAATTCTACCACCAGTTATCTGTTCTTTAGAAATTGCGTTCGACAGATATTGTAGTAGGTTGTCGATGGGGACTTGTTAGTCGCAGGACAGATAACGGGGACCGTCTACTACAACTGTGCACAGATCACAACCTATTTCTGGCTAGCACTAACTTTCGGCACAGTCATCGCCGATGTGCCACCTGGCGTCCCCCTTCTGCATCTCAAGCCTGGACTCAGATTGACCACATCGCGATCAGCTATCTCTGGCGCGGTTGTGTACAAGACTGCCGCTCCTTTAGGATTATCTATCTGAAATCTGATCACGCCCTGGTCTGCTCCAATCTTACCTTACTTTTCAGTGGACAACGAAGTGACCGCCACCAAAGGATTGATGTTAGCAAGCTGGTTGAAACTTCTGTTGCTAGTAAGTATCGAAACGAGCTAGCTTCTAGACTAGCTACCATCCCACAAAAAAGTATAGATGAGCATTGGTTGCAATTGCATGACGCCATAAACACGGCGAGTAAAGTCGCTTGCGGCTGCGCGAAACGTCCCGCTTATAAGCACTGGGTTTCTTCAGCCTCCTTATAACTCATCGAGACCCGTCGGTCTACTCCAGTCAGCCGCGAGTTCGACCACAAACGAAGGATGTTACGTACTGAAATTGGGCAAAGCTTGTGTGAGGACCGAGAAGCCTGGTGGTCGGAGCGTGCTAATGAGTTGAAAGCAGCAGTTGCATCAGGTAACTACCGGAAGCTCTTCCAACTCATCCGAGTCATTGGCAGCAAGAAGTCTGGTCTGAGTGAAACAATCTGTGAGGATGACGGAATGCCAATCACTACCATCCATCGACGTCTTGGACGATGGGCAGAATTTTTCGAAGGGCAGTTCAACTGGCCAGTTGCTCTGACAACATCGATCAGACTGTCCTGCTCTCCATGGCCGGTGATGACTGATCCACCAAATGAGGCGGAAGTCCGCGAGGAACTTCAACTCTTGAAGTGCTACAAATCGCCGGGTCCAGATGACTTACCTCCGGCACTTTTTAAAGATGGTGGTGACTTACTGGCTAAGGAAATGACTGTGTTGTTTACAAAGGTCTGGGAACTAGAGAGTGTACAAACGTCATGGAATGAGTCGATAGTTGTCCCTATCTTTAAAAAGTGTTCACGTCGTTCCTGTAACAACTATCGGTGGATAAGTCTACTTCCGATTGCGTCCAAGCTATTGGCTTCCGTCATACTTCGTAGGTTGTTTAAAACCCGAGAAAGATTGACGCGCGAGGAGCAGGCTGGTTTTCGTTCCGGTCGAGGATGTATTGATCATATCTTCATCCTCCGCCAAATGTTAGAACACCGTCATACTTATCAAAGGCCAACAATCATAGTGTTTCTTGACATCAGGGCTGCCTTCGACTCGTTGGATAGGACTGTTCTCTGGGATTGTCTATTGAAGAAGTGTGTGCCTGAAAAGGCTCTATATACAGACACCTCAGGCAGAGTGAGGGCATACAGCCACCTCTCTTCATTGTTCCATTCGAGCAGCGGGGTTAGGAAAGATTGCCCAATCTCACCATTTCTCTTCAACTTTGCAATCGATGACATTCTGGAAACAGCTCTGATGGATGTAAATAATGGCGGTGTAGATCTGTTGCCTGGAGAAAGACTTCTCGACCTTGAGTATGCGGATGATATTGTCTTATTGTACGATAATGCTCAAGTCATGCAATCCGTATTTAATCAGTTGGCAATTAGTGACCCCGATCCTGTATTCGCCCTAGGTAGTGAGCAGATAGAAGTAATCAAGAAGTTCGTGTATCTAGGTAGCTGCATAAGTGCTGGTGGTGGCGTGAGTGCTGAGACCAATGTACGTATAGTGAAAGCCAGAGCGGCTTATGCCAATCTGAGCCATCTTTGGCGCCTTCGTGATGTTAGTCTGGCTGTAAAAGGTCGGATCTACAACGCGTCGGTGAGAGCAGTCCTGCTCTACGCTTGTGAAACCTGGCCTCTCCGAGCTGAGGACGTTAGACGACTCTCTGTGTTCGATCATCACTGTCTCCGAAGGATTGCTGACATCCAGTGGCAACACCATCTTAGTAATGCAGAGGTTCGGCATCGCGTGTTCGGGCACAGAGACGACAATCCAATTGGTGTCACTATCTTGAAACATCGAATTCGGTGGCTTGGACATGTTCTGCGAATGCCGTCCCAGAGAATTCCACGTCGTGCATTATTTGCCGACGCTGGGACTGGTTGCAAAAAGCGGAGAGGTGGTCAGTGTATGACATTGTGTCGTGGTATGAAAGAAAGCTGCAAAGGGCTGGCTTGTGTTGGTCCTTCACGACTCCCTGGCTGGGGCCCGTCAGTCAGTCAGCTGCAACGTAGACCTTTTCGTTTCCCCCATTATTATTATCATTTCACTACCATATACTAATTTGTGTTCGTTATTGTTCTTTTTTCTCTTTACACCTTACATTATTTATTTCTTCCCATTCTCGTTATTTTGGGTGGCGCATATGTATTTGGTGCCCCCTTGTACCAATATTTATGTGTTCAAATAAATAAATAAATAGATTTTGTTTAAGAATCCCTCTTTACTTTCTAGATTTCTATCCCAGATTATCAGTTGAAATAAACTACCCTTTTCCCATCAATGATCGATTTTTTTGGGAAAATTGTTTTGCGTCAAATTCACGCAAATTGTAGCACGTGAACATCTGATTTACGTCAAAATATCTTCTGTCTTTTGGTAATATGTCTATCCTACTAATGTTAATAATATCAACATTTCCTTAAAATTAATAATGACCTTAAATATTCTACTCATAATACATGTCTAGATTTGAGTAGTGTATCTGTCAGTCTACCACTAACTTATAGTTTCATTGGCCAATTTTCTCTTTTTTTCATCTTCTGATCCCTCATTATCAATGGTGATGTTAAGTTGTTGAATGTTAAATCAGTAAAAGTTGAGCAGAATTATTAGATCATATAAAAGAAAATAACTAAATATGGATTTTTTTGATGTTGGGTGATGTCTCATCTTCCTTCATACTGCTACTATCACGTACTAACTGTGTACTTTATTATTTCTCGTGCACATCAAGTAAACCGTGGTTTTATTGTGAATAATCAAAAGATATCTTTTGTCAATGGTTATCTCTTGACGAGTTGGTTAAAAACAATGCTCTTTCGTTTTTTTCTTTTACAAATTATTCATATTACGTTAATCATAGTCTTTTATGCATATCTAGTTCTGCATACTGTTAATGTACAGATTCATGCACTGATCCTAATAATAGTTGCATGCAATTACAATAAATGTAATCAGTACTTATGTGGTTAATCTACTGTCAAATAACGTTCAACGTATACTGTGTATCACAGGTATTTTATATATAAGCTGACAGAGATCAATCATTGAATTTAAGCTTAACTGTTGAAAATTAGATAGATTCTCTTTAAAAACATTAAGGTCTCTCATTTGTCTATGCTCAAAATGTCCATTGATATGTGTAAGTGGTGATCATGTGACTTCACTTTCATTATCATTTCATATATTTTTATATAAATGTTGTCTTAACTGTTTCAGGATTTGTAGTTTTTGTCGTTTAATCAGTTATTACTGATTACTGCTTGAAGTTCATGTTTATCTTTATTAACCTTACTAGTAATGTTAATTGATAAATAAAAAAAGGTACTTGAATTGCGTCAATGATTGTGTAGCTTTCTTCTACAGTTAGTATAATAAAGAAACAAAAGTAGTATGATTATGGTTTTGATTACATGTTACTCAGTATGCAGTAATACGTGAGATAGCTGGATAATGGTTACTTAATAATATCAAACCAATGCTGCAGATCTTTTAAGTTAACGAAAATCACGAGGTTAAAGAAATATCTTAATACAATAACGAAGTAGTGAACACTAGAAAATAAAATTAAGTCTGCTAAAAATAACGATTTCAGTATTATAAGATCTTTGTAGGTTTTTTGGAGCCTCGTAAATTTAAAACTTTATTACTTTAATTTCTTTTATGCGATTATCTAGTGAACTGTGAACGATCTTTGGTTATTAAACGTTATGTACACGATACCCTCAACATAATGTTTATATGGATGTGCACTATATGGTAGAGTTATTGATGGAGGATCTTTCATAGAAAAATCTATCATTCTTACAGTCAATCAATCATAAGAAACATAAGACTTGAAACAATGGTACATCGGTCCAAGTCATCACGTCATATCGGTAAAATGATATGCAGTTGACAAAATGAATAGCGAAAGAGTCTAAATAATCAATCAACTGATCATTGAACGACTAATCAACATGTCACTGAAATTTTTATTACTAGCGATTTCGGTAGATATAACGTCCAATTTTACTCAAGGATTCATTTCTTGAAGTATAACTATTTCAGTGTGTCATACAGTTTCATTTTAACAAAAAATATAATTTGGTTTCGATTTTTTTCCTTTTTATCATAGGAGTATTCACCAGACCTTGCATATATTACTGGTAAAAAACGTGCTACACTAACTGATCCCAATTCTCCTGTCACTTTAACTAATATAACAATGATAAGTCATCCATTTGACCATGAGTCTAATGAAATAACATCTAATAATTCTAGAAGTAATAATAATAATCATATTAAAAAATCAGAGAATAGTGTCGTTTCATCAGCTAATAGTCGAAATTCTGAGTAAGTCTATATTATTGTACTGATGTTTTGTGTTTGTTGCCTTTTCAATTTTTCGCCGTATTGTATAATTTTATTGTATTTGCTATCATTTTCAAAAAGTAAACGTACGTTCTGTTGCAAATCAAATACCATTATTACTATTTCTGAACATTCTGCAAAATAAGCATGTACGTTACTTATTTTTCTTATTTACGTCAACAATTCGAAAGTGTTCATTTGTGAAAGTAAAAAAAATGAAATTGTGTTTGATGCATTGGCTTATATTTATTTATATGAACACATAAATATTGGTACAAGGGGGCACCAAATACATATGCGCCACCCAAAATAACGAGAATGGGAAGAAATAAATAATGTAAGGTGTAAAGAGAAAAAAGAACAATAACGAACACAAATTAGTATATGGTAGTGAAATGATAATAATAATGGGGGAAACGAAAAGGTCTACGTTGCAGCTGACTGACTGACGGGCCCCAGCCAGGGAGTCGTGAAGGACCAACACAAGCCAGCCCTTTGCAGCTTTCTTTCATACCACGACACAATGTCATACACTGACCACCTCTCCGCTTTTTGCAACCAGTCCCAGCGTCGGCAAATAATGCACGACGTGGAATTCTCTGGGACGGCATTCGCAGAACATGTCCAAGCCACCGAATTCGATGTTTCAAGATAGTGACACCAATTGGATTGTCGTCTCTGTGCCCGAACACGCGATGCCGAACCTCTGCATTACTAAGATGGTGTTGCCACTGGATGTCAGCAATCCTTCGGAGACAGTGATGATCGAACACAGAGAGTCGTCTAACGTCCTCAGCTCGGAGAGGCCAGGTTTCACAAGCGTAGAGCAGGACTGCTCTCACCGACGCGTTGTAGATCCGACCTTTTACAGCCAGACTAACATCACGAAGGCGCCAAAGATGGCTCAGATTGGCATAAGCCGCTCTGGCTTTCACTATACGTACATTGGTCTCAGCACTCACGCCACCACCAGCACTTATGCAGCTACCTAGATACACGAACTTCTTGATTACTTCTATCTGCTCACTACCTAGGGCGAATACAGGATCGGGGTCACTAATTGCCAACTGATTAAATACGGATTGCATGACTTGAGCATTATCGTACAATAAGACAATATCATCCGCATACTCAAGGTCGAGAAGTCTTTCTCCAGGCAACAGATCTACACCGCCATTATTTACATCCATCAGAGCTGTTTCCAGAATGTCATCGATTGCAAAGTTGAAGAGAAATGGTGAGATTGGGCAATCTTTCCTAACCCCGCTGCTCGAATGGAACAATGAAGAGAGGTGGCTGTATGCCCTCACTCTGCCTGAGGTGTCTGTATATAGAGCCTTTTCAGGCACACACTTCTTCAATAGACAATCCCAGAGAACAGTCCTATCCAACGAGTCGAAGGCAGCCCTGATGTCAAGAAACACTATGATTGTTGGCCTTTGATAAGTATGACGGTGTTCTAACATTTGGCGGAGGATGAAGATATGATCAATACATCCTCGACCGGAACGAAAACCAGCCTGCTCCTCGCGCGTCAATCTTTCTCGGGTTTTAAACAACCTACGAAGTATGACGGAAGCCAATAGCTTGGACGCAATCGGAAGTAGACTTATCCACCGATAGTTGTTACAGGAACGACGTGAACACTTTTTAAAGATAGGGACAACTATCGACTCATTCCATGACGTTTGTACACTCTCTAGTTCCCAGACCTTTGTAAACAACACAGTCATTTCCTTAGCCAGTAAGTCACCACCATCTTTAAAAAGTGCCGGAGGTAAGTCATCTGGACCCGGCGATTTGTAGCACTTCAAGAGTTGAAGTTCCTCGCGGACTTCCGCCTCATTTGGTGGATCAGTCATCACCGGCCATGGAGAGCAGGACAGTCTGATCGATGTTGTCAGAGCAACTGGCCAGTTGAACTGCCCTTCGAAAAATTCTGCCCATCGTCCAAGACGTCGATGGATGGTAGTGATTGGCATTCCGTCATCCTCACAGATTGTTTCACTCAGACCAGACTTCTTGCTGCCAATGACTCGGATGAGTTGGAAGAGCTTCCGGTAGTTACCTGATGCAACTGCTGCTTTCAACTCATTAGCACGCTCCGACCACCAGGCTTCTCGGTCCTCACACAAGCTTTGCCCAATTTCAGTACGTAACATCCTTCGTTTGTGGTCGAACTCGCGGCTGACTGGAGTAGACCGACGGGTCTCGATGAGTTATAAGGAGGCTGAAGAAACCCAGTGCTTATAAGCGGGACGTTTCGCGCAGCCGCAAGCGACTTTACTCGCCGTGTTTATGGCGTCATGCAATTGCAACCAATGCTCATCTATACTTTTTTGTGGGATGGTAGCTAGTCTAGAAGCTAGCTCGTTTCGATACTTACTAGCAACAGAAGTTTCAACCAGCTTGCTAACATCAATCCTTTGGTGGGGGTCACTTCGTTGTCCACTGAAAAGTAAGGTAAGATTGGAGCAGACCAGGGCATGATCAGATTTCAGATAGATAATCCTAAAGGAGCGGCAGTCTTGTACACAACCGCGCCAGAGATAGCTGATCGCGATGTGGTCAATCTGAGTCCAGGCTTGAGATGCAGAAGGGGGACGCCAGGTGGCACATCGGCGATGACTGTGCCGAAAGTTAGTGCTAGCCAGAAATAGGTTGTGATCTGTGCACAGTTGTAGTAGACGGTCCCCGTTATCTGTCCTGCGACTAACAAGTCTCCATCGGCAACCTAAAGGAATCTTTTTTTTGCGTAGACGTCTGATCTGAGCATTGAAGTCACCGGTTTGCACTATAATGTGTTTAGGAGGACAGTTAATTGCTGGTAAAACTCATCCACGATCGCAGCCGGACTGTCTTTTGCCGCAACATCGTTTCTCATGCCGATTTCTTCTCACTTTGATCTGATCCACAATGCAGTGGAGCATCGTAAGGAGATGCAGTCCCATGGTAGCTGATGACCAACGATTGGATCATACGCCATTTGTTCCCTCAGGATACTGGAGCACATGTGCACCATTGTTTTGTAATCAGGGTTTCCCAACTCTCCTAGGTGAGCTCCCCGTGTCCACCAACCTGGTTAAAGCGTCGGAGTTTCGCTTTTTGTCCTCTTAATTTTGTAAGCAACAGCCTGGTGAGAGAATGGAGTGAATGGGACTTCCCTGGCAAAGGCTATATACGCTTGGCCGTGTAAGAACATTTCGAGAGGGAGATCTGATTCTCCCTACGCTCGGCCGTACCTGGGCATTTGGGGACGCATTGACTTAAAGCTTATTTACCAAGTACAAGTTTATATACTCAACTTTGAGTCAAATTGCTTTTTAGGTATGATAACTAGTAATACTATGCAGCACCCGAACTGAAGTAGTTAGAGCGAGGTTCGAACCTATTACTTATTATTTGAAACACTAGTACTTTAAACATTAAGCTACTGCTATGGTTTGTTTTATGCCATGTGTTACTTGTTTAACTTTGGACAGTGGAATTTTCTCATCGAAACTATTAGCTCTTGATCTAAATTATTTAGTTTAGCCTGACAGGATCCATGTCATTTCCATTGTGAATTCCTAATGGTTAAATAATGATTGAAGTGAATACTCAAATTTGGAATCAGTGGCGTATATTCTGTCAAGATTGCTTTCATCTTCAATAGTTTTTAAATATATAAAATTTTAAGAAAACAAATAATTCCGCAGATGAAATTCTAACCACAGAAATAAAAGCATCACATAATCGCTAATGGTTGAGCCACTTGACTATCAACTATTGAGTTGAATGTTCAAATGTGACACTATCGAATTCGTTTCTAGCAGTGTGATATTATTTTCGGTTTCCACACTCAAAGTATAGCTTAAAAACTTTATTATTATTATTATTATTATTATTATTATTATTATTATTATTATTATTATTATTATTATTACGTGGAAGAAAGTATGTCTTCATCACCTAACTAAACCGAACGAGTTTTTTTCTTATTGGCATGTTTACTGGAGAGATAATCAGTTGTGTGTATATCCCAGTACTGTTAATAATTAGTCGTTGTTAACTGTAAATTACACTTACATTTTATTTCTGTGTTGTATAAATATATTTTCTCATTGGAATTAATTTATCTAAAGTAGTAGTCTTGTGTTTATGCTTTTTTAATTTTCTTGTTTGAGATAATTAAGTATGAACCAGAAGATAATATGATTCATAATCAAGTTACATTCTGCCTATATTCACTTTCATATTTTTGTTATAAATGCTGTCAGAAAATAAAGAAACCAATCATATAATGTATGTATAGGATAATCAATTTATAGTAACTCAACAAAATAACTAACTAGTTACTTTATTGATAATAATCTCAAGAGATATGTACTGTTCTCGCAATTCATTGTTTTCAGTTTAAGTATATCACATACAAATCTGTTCTAATATTCTTTCATAACTGATATAGAGTTTTCTACTTTTTTCAACCATAATTTCCCCACTCTGAAAAATTATCCAGAGCAAATTCTAGTCTTCGTATATATATATATATCAGACAAGAAAGTACTTCCTAATTAGTTTATGTGTCTGGTTTTATTCACTAATTCTGTGATTTTTCGAGTCACAATAGTAGTTTAATGAAATTATTATAGGTGTTTGCAGACTGAAGCACAAAAGTGACCTGTTCTGGAATCATCTGATTTAGGAGTATGGTTACAATATCCACGTAAATAAAAATTATAAACTAAACCTTGACAAAGTCCTGTATTTTGATCATTCAAGTTATAATCTTTGTTTAAAATCATTTTGCTTTTATCATTAGGTTTAATTAAAACCCAGTGTACAGAGAACACATAAACATGGTTTAAAGTCTTTGGAAAAGAAGCATTTGAAGGATACAACTCCTATGGGTCACCCATTCACCAATTAATTTAAGACCTATTTATCTAAATGATTACCACTATCATATCAAATTCTTTATATGGCAGAATCATAATATCGACCTGTTTCTCCTGTTTTGATTATGGGTGTATATTTCTTTTTCATTCTGTTTGTAAATTGAAATATAGCAAAATAATAAGAACAAACAACCTCAGTGACATGGACAATAATAATAATAGTATCAAGAATTGGGATTTTAAATTAGGACAACACAGATGTAAGCGAACATTGTCGTTTTTAGTTAGATCATCATCAGGCTTTACTCTAATCACATGAATATTTGTGATTAGATTATGAAACTAATCAAGGTGATTTTATTATGAGCTAGTGATCACTATGGAATAGACGGCATAACTATGTGTAGTATGTAAACAGTACACATTGGTAGTAAGAAGACAAGTGTACTAGTGGTGACAAGAATAATAACAGAATTTCTAGTCATTAGTATAACATGGAAGTAGGTCAAATGTGGGAAAGAATAAACAATAAAGTAATCACAAAACATTATTAAAATTACGTAATATGAAGTATGTAAATAACTAAGTAGTGAAGAATATAAACGGAGGGAAATGAAAGACAACAAATAAATATGGGATGTGGGAAAATTAATGAAATCATTTATTAAGTCACGTCCAGCCAAGGAAGAGATAAGAGTATCATGACTTTATTCTGAATACATCAATGTCAGTTATAGGTTCCGATTCCTATGGCTTCTGGTATGTGTGGGTGACGAGTCCCATTGAGAAATAACCCGAGTATACTACAGGCCACTCAAAATGTCTTTCTTCTACCATATGATTTTTATTAATATATGTGACAAAATATAGCTGAGGATTATCTTTGTCTGGCCATTTCCAGACCATGCTAGGAGATTTTCTTTCATTCGTTGGTTAAGTTGCCTGGTAGTACACCTAGTATAGTTATTTCCACAGGAGCAGGTAAATTTATAGATGCACATTAAAGAGGCGAACCCAGGTAATTTATCGTTTGTTCAAGTAGATTTCAATGGTCCACTAGAAACTGTCAATACAAGACTAGCTGCGTTGTTCGTTTTATTAACTGCCCTCGCTAATTTCATCCAGGACATCGCTAGCCACATCTCTGTCGAATTGTGGATTTAAGAATGGGGATTTCTTACAAATAATCATCTCTAACTTATATTTCCCGCGTACATGTACTTAAAAAAACCTCTCGGTTAGTCGTTATCCGTCAGTATGTTATCAATATACTCCAGTTCCTTCTTTATAGTATCATCTCAGCAGATCTTTTTTCACTCTGTTTGTGAGACCCTGAATCACTTTTTTGTAGAGGATGGGTGTAAAACTGTAGTAAGCCTGTGTAGTGGGATGGAAAGAAGCTCCTTCTATGCACACGTCTTTTCGTCTTAATGAGATATCAAGGAAATTTAGTGTCTTATCACACTCGTCCTCATCATTGACAGTGATTGCCGGGTGTACACTGTTAAATTGATTTAAGAGTTCGTTATTAGTATTTTGGTTTATTATGATTATATAGCGGCATTATAGATCTAATTTAACGATATCTTTTCATTGATGGGTTTATTATCGATAAGTTTTTGGAGTTTGATGAGATCACAAAGCTTTGTGTCGACGTATTCTGTTTTGTTTATTAAAGCGACATCTCCCTTGCCTGGCTTGGTTATAGTCAGGGTGTCATCTTTTCTTAGTATTGTTAAAGCGTCCCAGAGCGGCTTGTTTAATTGACGCTTAGTGGTACGTTTACTTTTCTCGTATTGTTGACAGCCATCGACTAACGCGGTTTTAAACCTAGGCAGCTCCTTCGATTCAGTTGAGACCAAGTCATCAGTTTGTGGAAAAAAATTTTCAAACTGTACGTCAGTATCTAGTTGGTTGGTTCTGTGCCCATAATTTCGGGGTTTAGGTGCCAAAGATAAAGCTTCTAGTTGTACTACATCTAATTCAGCAATGGGAAAACTATGGACTTATCGCTTCGTATTAAAAGGAAATCCACATTCTGGTCTTTGATTTTCCAGTGTTTTCATTAATTTTGTCCTTGTCTTCTCAGACCTACTTTTGGAAACGGTATCCACATAATCCATAAAAATTCATCTTTTTTCCAATAACAGATTTTTAACAAAACATTCTCTTTGTAGAAGATTCCTTCCCAAGTCGCTTATATTATTTTAAATTAGACAGTTTTCATTTAAAATGTTATATATAGCATAACCATTATCGTTATTTCTTAAACTTTTCCATAATGTTTATAAACTGTTCTATATACGTAATGGATATTCAAAAAGCAAGACTATTCTGTATGATGTATTTCTGTTTTCATGATTGCTGTTACTAACATCATATATGGAGTAACATGGTTGTATTCTTTGATAATAAATAATAATTTCCTTATATTTTTATATAGTTTACTCATTTCCTTTTGTAGAAATAAAGTTACCCTAAATTGGATTAAATACACATTATGTAGTTCTTTTTACTTGGCAACGGGGTGGAAAAGCTAGTTAGCTAATTAATCCAGTTGTTTAGACCAATCAGTCAATGATAAAAACTACATAAGTGACAAAACCATTTAGATATATACTACTCTTATAGTAATTAATTTTCTTTTTTTCATGATTAAATTTCAGTACAAATAATCCTTTTGATGATAAAGTTTCTGCAAATAGGAAACCAACTAATGGGGTTAATGCTAGTGAATATGCTATGAGTTCAAGTTCCGTTGCTGCTTTTGTCGGTGGTGTTGATGGTGACGGCGGCATCGATTCTATGTACACAGAAGAAATCAATGATGCAACTTACGATGATGGTCGGGAAGGTGTAAAAGTACGTGCACTATATGATTATGTTGGACAAGATGGCGATGAAATCAGCTTCGTTGCTGGTAGGTATTTACTTTGTACCCTTTTGTTTACAATTTTTTCACTTATTTTCTTTGTCTCAATGACCACTAAACAATAAATCAATGCATTGACTAACCTGTTCTAATGTGTATTTTTTAAAAGCTCTAAAGTTGAACAATACTTTTATCTGTTTCACTTTGGATTTTTTCTAACAAACTGATATCCGTAAATCATCAAAACATTTCATATAACCAATTAAATTAGCAAACTGAACTATTTGGTCGAAGAAATAAGTACACGAAAATTACCATCTTTTTCATATGTCGTCTTAATTTTGAGAATAAAATTAATAATTTCATATTTCATGTTTATCAACTTGTTTTCATTTTCGTTCATAATTTCTTATTGTTCACGCTTGTATTGTTTTTAGCGGTTGCTCCTGACTAATTTGATATAACTTAACTATCAGTGAACAGATTCTTATATTTAGCTTTGACGTACACTGTACGTAATATTTAGATCTGCGATTCACTGATTAAAAACCAAGTACTTTGACCACTGCAGTTGTATACTGTATTTTCATAACAGATATTTACTTAGTTAGTCCTTATACTTTCTGTTCAAATATTTTCACCTGGGATTGTTTCTTTTCTATTCTATCATAAAAGACGTAAGCAATGTTGTTTTCTCCCAGTTCTCTTTTCAGTGACTTGTGTGTCGATTAGGTTGTCATTTATTTCCTTTTTCCACTGGATGCCCAGGTTTTAGGTGATAGCTAACTATTGTCAACAATCTTCAGGGAAAAATTAATCAGCTGGAGATTCTACATATGCCTTGATGGTGCGAGTGTCAGGTATCAGGAGTTGCTGTAAAATGCATTCCACCATCCATTATCAAACGTAGTCCATTTCAATGTAGAGTTACTTAACCCAACAACCATATTGCATAGTAATCGATTAAAGTTGACCCACCGTAAGAATTAGGTAATACGACACTGTTTAGTATAACTGATTTACTTTAACATTTTTACGGTTACCTTTTATTAGAAATCCTTTTAGTGTTTGATTCATTGTTTAAAAAAATTATTGCAATTCATTAATCGATTATGTGTTCATGTTGCATTTATGTTTAGTTGATTTTATATTTCTATTTTTGTATTTTCGTTGTATCGTCATCTCATTATTTAAGTTGGTTATTTTACGGAGATTTTCAAAAACTTGGTTTTTTAATGATCATTATCATAAGTAGGTGACTTGTAGGATTATAGAGAATGACTCAGTGTGGCGCATATATATTTGGTGCCTACTTGTGCCAATGCTTATGTAAGACTAGACTGAGTTGGAGTAATAGGAAGAGCAACTTAGCAAGGATAATCATAATGATTACGGTATCTCTAGTTTGGTATAGTTTAATTGACTAAGAAGGTTTGTTAAAATAATGAATATATAACGGTGTTTAATGGCGGAGGTGTCCGTTGGTGATATGAGTATACATATATGCACATATATGTACTGTTAATACCATATCGAATAGTCTCCTTTCTACGTTAAAGTCAAGAACTTCATAAACTCATGACTGCGAAGTTGGTTTGCTTTCAGAACTGATTCCAGTCAACGCAGTTTGTTTAATTAAACAATGGTTAAGGTTTCCTGCTCTAGATTTTTCATTTAATCATGTAATTTACCTAATACTATGTCCTTAATCTTCATAACATTTGTTTCGTGTTTCTATAAACTATAAGTCATTCTATCAAATGTATATTTTGATGGAGAGATGGTCATATCATGTCTTTTATCTTCATTTATCCGAACGTCAACCTTAATGTGTGATAAAACAAATTGTTGAAGATTTTAGCTATTTCATTAATCATCATAACCTTGGTAAATAAGTAGACAATTCTTTTCAATTTAGTTGCTGAGTCACATACACGTCTATGATGTGTTAAATATTTCGTATATATATGGTTGGGGAAAAATGGAATAGTTGTTTTCTGTCTTTTGGGTTCGAATGTGTTTTTGAACAAAGCGAATTTAGGCTTGTATCAGTTTTTTGTCTTTAAAATTTACCATCACATACAACAGTCTAAATTTTTATCTAACTCACTTATAGACGTTGTTTTGCTTTTGCTTGTTAAGAGATTTCATGTTTGTATTGTTGTACAAATATTATCCATTCTCAGTGACCTCTTTACATCTTATTATTCTATTGATTGTGGATTGCATATCTCTTAATAAAGATTCTTTACAATTTATATGCTTTCGCTTAGAAGTTGATTTTTTTCAACAGTTGAAGCACAGTTAAATCTACTCCATACGCCACATATATTGGATCAACTTTTTCTTATTTCATTTAATAAGTTGCTCATAGTCATAATAGTCCTAATCATTCAAACGTTTTACTCATAACTAATTTATTGGGAATTCCAAGAAATTATTTTAACAACAGAGTTATATAAGAGGCTAGATACTAGTAAAATGTTTATTTCATCTCAGCTTGTGACTTTGAGATGGTGGAGAAGATTTGCAGCTCAGAGAACAAAACTCCATCAATAGCTTGTGACTCCTAATCGTGCGTGTTAGAAGCCCCACATGAAATAAAATCCAGGGATTGCTAAGCTTCTCAATGACCCGATGTGGGTTAGTGAGTAAACATTTCTGTAGAAATCTCGAATGGAAATTAAACAACCGTTCCTAGGTCTCTTGTTTTCTAATAATTTCCCAGTTGGTGTTATGATTTAAGTTGTCTCTTCGAATCATATAAATTTTATTAATTAAGATAATAATATTAACAGTAATAACTATAATCATAATATTCAAGATAAGTAACTATTTTAAATTTGTATGGATGGTGACTCTTTAAAGTTTTTTTTTGCTTATTTATTATAGGTGACACGTTTGAAAAACTTGAAGAACCTGATGATCAAGGTTGGTGTAAAGGACGAAAAGATGGTCGTGTTGGTCTATATCCTGCAAACTATGTAGAACCTTGTTCAAAATAATACTACACATAAAATATTTGATCCATCACATTTTGTATCTGTGGCTTCTTGTTTTTTTTGAAACACATTTTTACAATTGCTTGTATTCGTATCGTAGAATATTGAAGGAATGTACGAATGGTTAAAACACCGAATATATATCTTTTTTTATATCTTCGTTGATATATATATATATATATATATATATATATATATATATATATATATATATATATATATATATATAGCCAATGTCTTGAACAGCCTTTTCTATTTAAAGGAGCGGTTTCTCCCACATGTCCTACATACTTTTTGTAGATGAGAAAACGTGACCCTATCATATTTTAAAAACCATTTATTTGAGTTATAGTGAACCACAAAAAGAGGACCTAACAAATTTCATTTATTGATGATTATTTTCGAGCTATTTTGTGTGTCGCATGGATTTTTCCCAGAATAAAAATTGCTATTTAAGGTGACATTTTTCCCTTTAGAAAACAATGATTATCGTTTTCAATGTCATCATGACTGTGTAATTCCTGTCACTTGCAAATATTGCTCTGTCACTATTGAATATGGGATTTTCAAGTGTATTCACCATATAAATTCACTCTTACTATTTCCTTCATATTATTTTTGTGAGTTGAGACACCATATAAACTTTGATGAACAATATACATCTGTAATAGGAATAAATTTGAAATATTTATCAATTAATTTATGCTTGCGTTTATTAATTTTGCTTTAAAATGGGCACTGTCTATTCCACTCATTTCCCTTCTTTTTGAATTAATTTTTGTCCATTTTTGGTATACATACATAATATATTCATATTTATGTATATATATATATATGTCTTAAAGTCGTTGTATTAAAGTAAATTTTTAGAGTTTCTCATTGTTGCTATATATGAATGGTATATTTTTCTTTGTACCATTATCATTAGTTTTTTCTATTTATTAGCATTACATTATATCCTTTTTTTATTCTTCCTTCATAAATCGTTTATCATATTATTTTTTCTTGCGTTCTTTAATCGTTTCTTCATTATATTTTGTTATCTGACAACTGAGTTGTCTGTTCTTCTATATCTGTGCATGAATCATAACAGATTTCCATCGTATTACGTTACTTTTTTCAATTCGGTTGAAATTTTCTTCCATATATATATATATATATATATATATATATATATATATAGTTTAGATAAATGCGAGACCGTGTCCGCTAAATAACTTCTTAAATTATACTGAACAGATAGATCAAAGTGATTGAGAAATTTCATACTTATCATCAATTTTTAAATTATTGTTCAAACAGATCAATGGATTTTTTAATATAACTGAAGGGGTTCAAGTAATAGTTTGATTATGTGAATTCGGACTAGATTTCTACTAAACAGATTTAAAAAGATGGAAGCCTTTAGTTAACTGATCATGTGTATGCCAAATAGAATATTACAATTGTTTACAAATTTGTCTGATTATGCGTTACCTGTCATTCAGTAAACAAATAATCGTAGGCAATAATCAATGTTCATTTGTTTTGGTAGTTGCAACGATTAAAATAACACGAAATAAATAACTTCTAACATGTCTAAACGTTTTAATGATCTCTTATTTAAATTATGGCATTTTCATTAGCGGTATCAGCAAATGTTGACTTGATTATCAGATCAATATTGGTTGATTTTGGTCAAAATAATACGGAAAAAGTAAAAGCGATGATGATTCATTTTGTTTTATTTATCAGCCCTTTTTACAAGCAGAAGTACTATTGCTTTACCTAATGATCTAAACAGGAATTTAAAGATATTCCAATACGAGAATTAAAGTAACAGAGTGCTTGTTCCTCATGTTAATAGCTTAATAAACAATGTGTTGCCACGTTGAGTTGTATTGATTGTTTGAATTATCTCATTGATGTTTGACACTGGAATTGATCAATGTCTTTTGGCATATGTGCATCTTCTGCAGATTACCTCGATATTCCCATAAGTCACAAGCATTATAAGAAGAGATGGATTGTTGCTAACAGTGCAATTCAGCACGTGCGTTTCTTCCCATTGTGTGACTCGTTAACTGGATGTACATGCATTCCAGAGTTGTTGTTCACTCTAAGACTAGCCACCATCAATCAATGCTTATAATTCTCCTGACCGTTGTTGCTACCTTGACGTGGTGGTCGGGCTTGCCTATCGTGATGAAGCAACTGAGCTATACTGGCTGGAACAACCGTTCCTCAAGGTCCTACCATGCCAGACAGGTCGGTTGAAGAGCGGTAAGACTAAAAGCAACAAAACCAAGGTCCGAAGGCGAAGTCGTACTGCTGACTGTACAGAGGTGTGACAGCAGTAAGGTGTTTCTTTCAGACAACCAGCATGACAGCGATGCTGCCTTCCCACAAGGAGGGGTGGGGTTAGAAAAGGTCGACCCTAAAAATGCACACCTCGCCTTATCCCACGGATATCCGTCTCCGGCGGTAAGGACTCAACAAGTACGGAGCTAACACAAAAATCACTCATAAAAAGGTCGTGTGTGACCGACCTCAAACAGCTGTCCCTTGGGCACTGCGGTCACGCTCTCAGGTCACTATGACCACCTTTAATCCAATTTCCTTTTCAGGTACCTCCAGAAGAACCCTTCCACGGTGTGGGCTGATCAGCCCTAATGGGTTGTTGTCTGACGAAATCTCAGCACGGATTCGAAAAGCTCGCTTGGCCTTTGCCAACTTACGTCATCTATGGCGAAGGCGAGATATCCGTCTATCAATTAAGGGACGAGTATACTGCGCGGCAGTTCGTTCCGTCCTTCTATACGGCTGCGAAACATGGCCTTTAAGAGTGAAAGATATTCGTAAGTTACTAGTATTTGACCACAGATGCCTTATAAATATTGCTCGCATCTTCTGGAATCACCGGGTAAGTAATAGTGAGGTTAGACGCAGGGTATTAGGGAATGATGGTAAATCAGTTGATGAGGTTATGAATCTTCATCGACTGAGATGGTTGGGCCACGTGTTGCGTATGCCTGAACACCGATTACCACGACGCGCAATGCTGACTAGTGCAGGGGATAATTGAAAGAAAGTTAGGGGCGGCCAAACCAAAACGTGGCATCAGTGCTTGAAGTCACTAACTTCTGGTCTGAGCCATGTTGGGAGATTCAGACTGCCTGGTTGGGGTCCGCGTGACTATCGTAACCAATGGTTGGAGACTCTTGGTGACATGGCTCAGAATCGATCACAATGGCGTCGGTGTATACAATCTCTGTCTTCCTTAAATTAAGAGATTAAAATCGCTTCATATCTGTCTAGGAACTAATTCTTTCTTCCTTTACTATCTACTTATAAACAATCTTTCTTCTATATATTACCACCACTGAATTAACTACTCCTATGAATCCGGTGTTCATCTTGTTGTGCTAATGCGGTATGGCAACTTGGACCGATGCATATACGTGCCTGGTCCTACGTTGCAGCTGACTGACTGACTGCTTATAATTCTAATAATTTAAGGCAATATTGAAGCAATCCGTACAGGATGCACATCTGCCAAAAGTAACTGCTAAATTGCAGTCCTTAACATCTGTGGGAAGATGTGAGTTACAAATTACTCCATTAAACAAGCTAAGTGGAAAACGCGATGGCGTTTGAAGGAAACATTACTAGTTCGAGTCGCGGAGTGAGCATTAACTCTCCGATCCGGCTGACGAGTTCCGGCTAGGGCGAAACACTCGTGTTGGATTTTCCTACTGGCTACCATTCACCTCTGCTTATGTGCCGGATCGTTTTATATTTTGTATAGTATTTGTATTAAAGAACGATTGTTGGAATGCAGAAATCAGGATATATCAGGTTTTTATTCTTTTGCTTTCGGTGGCCATTCGTAAGCTTTCTAGTTCATTCGACGTTAACAGCTGTTGATGAGTAAACGGTAGGAAGTTAATGAGAACGGACAAGCTTTTATTTGATTAGTATACTCTGAAACGAATACTAATTGTCAGGTGATTATCAAGTTGTTTGTTATGTAACCTTATATGTACTTTGAGAAGTAATGCTGGTCAGTTTCTGGAGTTAGCATTAGATGTAACTATTACCTGTTAATATACTTATCTGTCATTCATGTATTTGTGTGATTAGCGGTAATACTGTTGACTGCTTAAATCAAAAGTGAAGCAGTATTCTAGCTTACAATTCACTGAATAAAAATTACTGTTCTACTAAAATAATTGTCATCCAGTGATCGAAATCACTTGTCATTATCTTCTGAATTTATAATCTCATTTGAGTTTGTGTAGTAACTACTATTAAAAATTTTTATTTAGTGTATATATTCTAGGTAAGAATTATTTTCCATCAATCCTTTCAAAAATATATCTTACGCCTATTAAATTTTTATACCCCTCCCGGATGCATCTTAGAAAACTAATGATTTTTACGTACACATATCATTTACTTTATAAAAATCAACTGATTTCATATTTTTACACGATAAATGGATTATGTAAGTCCTCACACTCCAATCAGAGCATTCAAAAACAAGGTGAGTATTGTTTGCTATTCTAATTCCTAACTTACGTGATTATCCAAGTAAAATGCTTGGTCATGACATTACACAATTTCCAGGTTTAGTGTGGAATATATCTGTGACATTTAGGCATTCGTATGTTCAGTAATTGTAAGATTTAACAATAATCAGTGGTCATAATTTACCAGTGGAGCTAATCCATGTTTGTTTTGAGACAGTTACCCACCGAAGGCAATTGAAGATGGTAGAGTTATTTCGTGGATTGATTGAAGTCGGACATTAACACCGCTGGATGCCTGCCTAGAGTTTGCGCGCTGGAACAAAGAACATGGGTCAATTTCCCGCACGCATTATCTGTATGCGTTTTCATTGGCGACCTAAATTTATTGGTTCATAATTTCAATGAAATAATCAATGTGTCAAAAAGAGTTTAAAGTTACAATTAATTTAAAGTAATTTGAAATAACTTCGGTACACAATAGTTACTTAAATT